ATCTTCATCGACACTCCATCAAAGTCCCCCCGTCGTAGTCCTTGATGTACCTACACCCCGACGCAGCAGCAGCAGCAGCAGCAGCAGCAGCAGCAAAGGAGCAGCAGTTAGTTTTGCAGCAGCAAATTGAAAAACGCCAGCAAAGAGAAGGCAAAAATAAGCGCGAAAACAAATAATAAATAAACAAATAAATAGCAAAATAATAAAGAATATTAAACAAAATAAAAACCCTAGGCCCTAAACCCCAAACCCTAAACCCTAAACCCTAAATAAATACCCTAGCCAGCGGTCTCGAGGCAAAGTTATTCGACTTGAAAAACCCTGCTTCCGGAAATACCCCACTGCGAAGTTGTCTGAACCACAAACCCTAAACCCTAAACCCTAAACCCTAAACCCTAAACCCTAGAGAGCGTCCCAGCCCACCGACCACCCCCAAATCCACCCCCAAACCCCAAACCCTAATCCCTAACCCCAAACCCCTACCGAACCCCAACCCCCCTAAACCCTAAACCCTAAACCCTAAACCCTAAACCCTAAACCCTAAACCCTAAACCCTAAACCCTACCTGCGTAGGTGAGGAAGTACTCGATGCCGCTTTTCTTGACGAGTTCCTTCAAGTGGCTCATAAGTCTTGTCCCGTAGCCCTTCACTTGCTCAGCAGCAGCAACTGCCAAAAACGCTATTTCAGCGAAACGCTAAGCAGCAGCAGCAGCAGCAGCAGCAGCAGCAGCAGGGGCCATTTCAACACGAGAACGAGCAGCAGCGGCAGCAACACACGCTCCCTTCAGCGTCGCAAACCCCCACATAGCTGGCTAGCTATGTGGCTAGCTAGCTAGCTAGCTAGCTGGCTAGCTAGCTAGCCAGCTAGCTAGCTAGCCACATAGCTAGCTAGCTAGCCACATAACTAGCTAGCTAGCTAGGTAGCCACACAGCTAGTTAGCTAGCTAGCCACATAGCTAGCTAGCTAGCTAGCCAGCTAGCTAGCTAGCCAGCTAGCTAGCTAGCTAGCTGGCTAGCTAGCTAGCCACGTAGTAGCTAGCTAGCTAGCTAGCTAGCTAGCTAGGCGCGTGGTGGGCCCGCGGGTGGGCCTGGGGGGTGGCGGGAGGCGGAGGGTTTAGGGTTTAGGGTTTAGGGTTTGCGTGCCTGGGGGAAGTAGGGCTTGAAGCAAACAGCAGCAACAATTTGCTGCTGCTTCCGGAGGGCAAAGGTGAAGTGGAATCTGTCGAGAACAAGTTTGCTGATGTAGTCTCTGGGCATTTTGGGGAGCTGCTTCGAAAAAAGGTTTTTGCTGCTGAGCAGCTGCTGCAGCTGCTGCTGCTGCCGCCCGTTCAGCAGCAGCACGAACTCTATTATCCCCAGCCGCTCCTCCAGGGCCCCCCCCGCGTCTCGCCGCAGAAACCCCAGCCCCGTCAGCGAGGGCAGCAGCGACTGCAGCAGCAGCAGCAGCAGCAGCAGCAGCAGCAGCAGCAGCGGGGGGGGATGGGGGGGAGGCGCGGGGGGGGGGCCGCAGCAGCAGCAGCAGCAGCGACAGCGGGTGAATACGAACGAGGACAAGAAACAGCAGCAGCAGCAGCAGCAGCGGAATAGGGATGAAGACGAGAGGCAGCAGCAGCAGGACAAGAAGCAGCAGGACAAGAAGCAGCAGGAGAATGAACAGCAGCAGCAGCAGCAGCAGCAGGATAAAAGGGGAAAGACACAATTGGATTTAAAAGTGAAAACGAAACGAAAAGACGCAGGAAGTGGAAAGTGGAGAAAGAAATGGAGGAAATGAAAAGTGGAAAACAAAAAAGAATGAAGAAAAAAGAATAAAAATGAAAAACATAAAACAAAACAAGACAAAATAAAATAAAATAGAATTAAAAGGAACTAAAAAGGATTAAAAATAAACAAAAAGAAGCAAAAAATGGAAAAATGGAAAAAACTGAAAAGTGGGACGCGCGGGGAGCTGAGGTGTATGTACACCCCACGCCACCTGCCTCGGGAGATGCAGCAGCAGCAGCAGCAGCAGCAGCTTTTTTGAAAATGAAATTAAAAAGACTTTTATTAATTCCAATTAACTTCGATAAACCCTCGAAGAACTGGAAATCCAGAAAGACAGATCCTGCTGCTGCGCGCAGCTGCTGCAGCAGCAGCGGCAGCTGCAGCA